AGAAAATACTTCCCAGTGCATTAACAAATTAGTCCTTTGTTCTGTAATGGTTCTAGCTATTCAAAACATACACAGATAATTGTAACTGTAAAAATTGAGCCCTGTGGATCATACAATGGAGTTCATAACAAGAAATGAAAATAGCTAGGTTTAACCTTGGCTAGCCTTTGCCAACGACTAGCTACTAGCCTATGAAACCCTTTATGTCCTAGCAACATCCCGAAGATATGCCCAATGGCAGGCAAATGATACATTTCGACTATTCACCATATTGTGGTCATGGACAATGCACAACATGCCAAGCACCAACCACATCTAACCCACAGCCCAATTAAGGCAACTCCAATGTCTGAATAGCAATTCTTGCTAGTAAAGTTCCACTAGCATGTTAAGGGGAAGGCTATGACAGGCCTTGAAAAGATACATGTATGTTCATGCACATCTAGTAGTACCCAAAACCAAGGTTCATGGCTACCAAGCAGGTACTTGCAAACTCAATGCATGTCAAAGCTAAACAATGAAGCAAAGCAGTCTAAGAGAGCTGCACAGGGACTTAACATGCAAGCAAAATAATCTAATAGGCACATGCAGCAGTGTCTGTTGCTTGATGACTACCACCACTTTTCCACACTTTAGTGCCACTACTGGGAATGTAGTAGGTAGTAGCAGCACCATGTAGCAGAAGGTGCTCTACACTTTGTGTGCTTCCAAAGTAATTCTAGCCTTAACTAATTGCTTGCCAAATTCAATCCCCTGTATGCCCATGTCTAAACAAATCGGCCACTAGTCCTCCCTCATAGGTTATAATCTTCATTACCACCCAAATCTTTCCTGAAATGCCTTTTATCTGTTACCATTTAAAGCATCACATAGACTATTGCAACCAAAACTGACTCACGCCTCTGATCATAAAATATTAAGATAAACCAATGAGAGCCCTAGTTTTCTACTTTTCTCCTCCTCTTTCTTCTTATATTTGTTTTCCATTTCTGCTCACTTGATTGTAACAGAATGTTGGATGCATTACGTATTTACATACATATTATATCCAAAATCAAATACTTCATTCCAAATTGTCCAAGGGCATTGTCAGCTTAATATAGGTTTTGCTTCATTTGATTTTCTTAAAAAATGAATATTAAATTGTACATTGTGTGATAGCTAGAACAAGCTAAATAACATTTTAGTATGTGTCAAATCTCAATTTGCTTATTTACTTATTCTTGTAAAGGTTGAATAGAGGCCATGCAAACAGACATGTGAAGCACTTCAGACGGCCCCAACCTTCACCTTCATATTTGAGGTTTTGGCATCAACCATCATTTTGCGATGCCATCTCCCTAAAATGCAGCGGAATTGTACTTTAAGGAATATTCCTAATCAGTGTTAATTTAATACAAAAAACAAGTCAATGACTTCCCCTTCTTTTTCTAATGTCTTAATAGATTCATTCCACATGTTCCAAAACCTAAGTGGATCTCTGTGCTCTACACACTTTACTTAGGATCAAAAAGCTACTGAAGTCTCACAAATTAGAATCTTCCCTGACCAACCCTCAGTTCCACACACAGATGCCAACAAGTCTAAACAACATAGTTCTTGCCGCAATTTGCTTGTAGAAAATCGGAAGTACTACAAAGTCAACAATAGCAAACTAATCTCAAATTATCAATCTCTGACATGAAAGTTCACTCCTACCATCAAGCAATGCCATTGTTTCTATTCTAAACTGTCCATAAAGAAACTTGCACTCGTCTCCCCACAAGGGAAGGAGTCAAAAAAAATTTCGCAAAAGCTTTCACTCTCACATACTTCATTCTGAATTTGACTGCAGCTCTACAAAATTAAAAATCCGAATTCGGTCAAAATTTCTCTCTTTGTCTCATATAGGTCAGCATTTCATCAATTTTAAACATGGAACGATGGCATTAATCATGTGTTCATGAAACCCAGAAAATACATACTCCATGAACTAATCAACTAAACCTCAAATTTTCCTTCTAGTTCTAGTAACAGTTCAATAAAAAAGAATCTAACAACACAAAAACCAACAAACAAGAAATTTCATCATACTTTCAACTCCACTTTCTCATTTAAACTTCAAAAATATACTCTATAATCTAATCAAAAGCTAACCACAACTATTCCAACTTTTTCACAAGATTACAACAGCTCATGCATATTTTTTTTCAAAAAAAAAAGCAACACCCACTAAAGCTAACAAAAGAAACATCATATTTTTATCATCAAAATAAAAAATAAAAAATCAACTGAAATAAATTGGGAAAAATAATAATTTTGAGTTAATCATCAGTAAATAATTTCTTAAAATGGAGAAAAAAGGAGTAGGAATTACCTGGGAAAAAACACAGTTGACTAAAGAGAGAGAATGATGGAAGGAATTGAAGAAATGATAAGAAGAATAAAATCCAAATAATTTGGTTTAGCACATTCTTCGCAAAACATAAACCCTAATTTGTCGGAAAGAGGGAAAAAGTACCAAATTGATTTTTAGAGAGACATAAATAGTAGTGTTGTACTATAGTACTTGATGAGAAATGGAGAAGTTGCTCTCTTTTTTCTCTCTCCATTGTCTTATACTTTTATCGTGTGATTAGCTTTTTCAGCCTTTTGCTTTGTCTTTTTTATTTTTATTTTATTTTTTTAATTCGTATTTCGGCTATGTTTTAGTTCCTCTTGTTTTAAAACCTTATTTTGAAGTATTACTTTTTTTAAATCGGATGAACTCGTCAAAAAAAAAAAAAAATCGGACGAAAAAAAATTATGGTGTAAGTTTTAGTCCTTAATCCTTATAGATAAACCATTTTTTTTGTTTTGAGGAACCCTTTGGACACACTTTATTGTTTTGTGTATGTCTTTCATTTTATTTTTATTTTTATTTTTATAATTAAGCATCTTTAATTCGTAATGAAACATGGATGGAAATTACATATTAATAAAATACATATTAAAAAAAATTAATAAGACTCTATTTTATATAAACTAATCTATAACCTTTATACTAAGGGCGGAGTTTGGGATGACACATGTCATCTTCTAATTAAAAATTTTCCCGCCTAAATGTTTTTTTTTTTTGCCAAACAGTAACTTCTATATTTCAAATCAAATTTCTTCCATATATGTTCTACCAATACATATTTTCATATCTTTCTTTCTATTTTTTTAGAATAATATCTTTCATACCATTTTTTATTGGGTACTCCGTATTAAAATAGCAATTTTCTATAAGACTTCAAATTTTTCTTTTTTGTATAATTATATGCTTATGTTGTACTTTGTATCTTATTTTCAAGAATAAACCCATCAACACTTTTCGATGAAAAGTAAAATAAATGAAGTTGTAAAATCTATACTTTTATTAACATTGCACCTCATTTTGTAAATATAATTACAAATATGCAATATATATCCTAAATAAATTATCAAATTATATATTTATACATAACTATGTATATTTGTGTTTAATATTATAGGAACATTAGATAAAAAATACCCATTGACTATAATTATAAGAATAGTGCTAATAATAAAACAAAAATTAAATTCTCCGCCGTTCACTAAAAATAAAACAAACAATAAATTAAATTACCCATGTGCCTATCAAAGTGTGGGACTTAAGTGTATTGCACGCGCAGGTACTGACCATGATTTTATTGTTATATAATGAAGTTATTTTATTATGTTCAGTAATGTAATTTATTTTTAAAATTAATTATTGAAGTAATAACTAAATATTGTTATTCGTAATAAGATTTTGTAAAAATCGTGCATTACACCGGACTAATACTAGTAGTCTAATAAAGAAAAAAGAAAAATGGAAGTACAAGAGGAAGGACAGAGCCACAGAGGTGGGAAAATAGAGAAGTGGAGGAAAATATGACATATATTTTTTTTTTATAAAAGGAAACTGATTTTTGTTCTATTAAAAGCAACTTCCCACCTAGGGTTGCTATTGAGCTCTGCAGCTCCCGAGCAACTCGAATTAACTCAGTCAAAACTCGACTCAAGTTTGCTCGTGCTCACTCGAATCAGCTCGAAACTCAATAAGTATACAAGATATTCAATATTTTTCTGTTCTTCTATCTTTAAAAACAAAAAATTACCTTGACACTTAATAAATTTAAAATATTACACCTTAGTAGGAAAAATTTATATAAATAAAAGTATATATATTCAACAAATGTTTAATACTCAAGAGACTTAAACCTTTAAATGAGTAGCTCGTGATTTACTCGGCTCGGCTCGATTCGAAACTTAACAAACACGAGTCGAGCAACCCTCTACTCGTGATCGACTGGCTCGATTAACACTCCTATTCTCACCTATTGAAAAATTGTTTTCCACTTTTAATCAAAAAAAAAGAAAAGAAAAGAAAAGAAAAGAATAAAAAAAGGAAAATGGAGAAAACAAGGAAGCTCATTTTCCAAGAAAATTTTCTCCGCCAAAATTTCTATTCAACGGAGAAGAAAACAACATGTTTTCTATGTGACTAGCCACACCGTGTGGCCTGCTGACACATACCAAAACACTAAATCGGTAAGCCCTGATCGATTGAGTAAATCCCGACCGAGTAACCCCCGACTAACCGAGTAACCCCTGACTAACCGAGTAACCCTTGACCAAATAGCCCCTAACTAAATAACCCCTAACCAAGTAACCCTTTACCGACCAAGTAACTCCTAAATAAGTAACTCCGACCACACGATATGACCATTTATATATGATTTTATACTCTGTATGTTAGTATTATAAATTCAAACATACAACACATACAAGACATACTTATGTGTGGATTGATTTCATTAAAGTTTTATTTTGATAGTCTTTGAATTAAGTAAAAAAAAGGTTGTTACAATTAAAAGAGTAATTTGTTAGGTTAATATCTCTATGAAAAAACTTAGCATTTCACTTATTTACAATTGATATAGTCCGTATTCCTAATGTTGCTTCCCTTCACAATTATTATGCAACAAACTTCGTCTCAAAACTTCAGTGTCATCATGTTGTTTAGTTGAAGGTATATCAAAATTCGAGACATTTCCCCTTCATCGACGCCATTATTAATTTCAAGAAATGTTACTACATTCAATTGCACATATTGATACCAACTAGGAATTATTCTAGCAACATTCTCTATCGTTGTCTTTAATGACAATATGTGCTAAACATCATATACTTTTCGACCGACAAAATGAAACTAAGCCACAAAATTAGCACATTCATCATCATCTCGGACTAGGTTTGGACTTAATTTCCAAAACTGGGAACTCTGCACCAAATAAGATTGATTAAGAAATCCAGCCAAAATAATCTTTGCTCCTGGGCCTTGGCTTGGCCACCTGGTTATCACACCTAAAACTTCGACAATATGCCTTGAGAGGCACTTCACCGAGTCATTTGTGAGCAATTCCATAGAGATGAGGGTTTATAAACAACGCACTAGAGATGAAACTCGTGCTGGTATTGACACTAGAAAAGCCTGCTTCGGAAATGTGCTTCTCCGTTTCTCTTGTCAGATGACATCCATCAGCTAGCAACTGCTGCAGCGGGTTGAAAATTTTCTGCAGAAGCCTCAGTGACGTTCCATCTATTTATGATAAAATTTGAAAAAGAAAAAGAAATGCGTATGTGAGCTTCTGATGAATCAAACACAAACATGCTGTATCAAGTCTTAGCTGACTGAACAGACCAGGAAATATTTGGTTCAGTACATCGTACCCTTTGCAGCCACATGCTCCACAAACAAGTATAGGCCCCCTGGTTTAAGCACCCTCTTTATCTCTGCAGGAAATGTGAAAGACAAAATTAGGTGACCGGTTCTTGGTGTCTTTCCAAATCAGGAAATGACAATAGTTGTGTTGATACAACTGAATCAGATCAGGGAATCACAATGAAAACCCAACTAGTTCTGTGGTTTGGAACTTCAATTGCTCCTAGTTTTTATCTCATTATTACTTCTGTAGTCACTAAGGCATCCTCCTTACAGGACTTTAAGCATGCAATCCTCAATATACCATTGAATTCTTATCATCCCTTCTACATCAATTGTGTTGTCGTATACTGGAATTTCTTTTTGCCAAGATTTTTATGCTTATATAACTTGTTGGCCATTATGTTTTATAAAATAAATCGCTGTTAGACAGTTTCAAGTGATGCAAAAGACATGAATTTTCTTTGGGTATGTCGAATGTCTCAATTATCATGGAAACTTAGAAATCAACCATCTAGGAACTCAATTATAGAATGCGTTTGGCAATTTGTTCATTGATAATCAATACTTAATCCATATGCTTTCAGTTCCATAGGGTCCATTTTTTATAACTAAATCATTCTTCTCATTACATACACAAATGCAGAGACAAACAGAAGATAAAAGACGGCTACCTTGAAGAGTCCTAGGGACATCTTTGACAGAACACAATACAAGTGTTCCAATGACAGTGTCAACAGAAGCATCATCCAGTGGTAAAGCCTCCCCTACCTGCACAAACAGTAATCGTGGTATATAGCACAAACAATGAGCAGAACTAAATCATTCATGCAGGATCTCAACTTATATTTTAGTGTCCTAAGAGTGGAAAATAGGCTTGTGAGAATATCTCTGTAAACAATAGAATTTTGTCGCTGAACAAATGCATTTGAAAGAAGCTCTGACAAGTAAAGAAACTCACCGCTTGCACGAATTTAAATTTTTCTGGAGAAAGACCTGCAGCATCGGCTGCTCTCCTGGTATACTTCTCCATCTTTCTGTTTGGATCAATCCCAAAAACCATACGTGCATCACTGGCATAGTATTTAAAATTAGTTCCTGTCCCAACACCTATCTCCAAAACTTCTTTGGTTTGTCCGTTCAACTTATCAAAGAGCTGAGACTTGTAACCTGCGACCTTACCAATTAACAAAGCATATGCAAATGCAAATGCAAGAAGCAAGTGACAGTAATTAGGCAACCTGATACATCAATCGGCGAGAATAATAGCAACAAACATGGAAGGAGCTGTATCAGATAATAACTGACCTCAGCTTCATATTCTTTCATGCCATAGTTCATAACTGATGCATAGAATTCCTCATACCAATCTGACCTAGGAGGGTGGATTTTGTTTAGCATGTCCTGTGCTTTAAGATGATCAGAATTAAATATAATGACTGGAATACTGGATGATCTTGTTCATTTCTGTTAACTGACATAGTTATGACCATTACAACCTCACAGCAACTAGCACCATAGCTTTGTGACGGCCCTTTCCTGTGCTGAAGCTGGCTATGTACTGATGTATGCGACTAATGAGAGTATTCAACCCTACCTATTTTGTGGTTTTTAATTTTTTTATTTTTATTTTATTTTTATACAAGTTGCTCGTGATCTTCTTCGGCTCGAATGCCTTAATCCCATAAGTGAAGTCGACTAAATGAAATGAGGACTTCCTAGGAGGTCACTCATCCCAGTACTACTCTTCACTATTGTGGCTCATGATCAAAGATCCTAATATATATCTAATTATATGCAAAATGCATTCCTCTTCAGTTCTTCACCATAAAAATTAATCAAAAAAATTTACTCCACAAAAAATACTAACTTTTACCTAAAATCAAGACAAGCTTGTCAAAGTGTAATTTGAACACCTTCCATACTCCCTCTTACACAAACTCTAAAATTATACACAAATGTTATAATTATACTCCTTCTGTCCAATATTAATAGTCACGCTAATAGTGTAATTTGAATTAGTAACGCAATAGTCAAACCCGACTAATAGAGTACATTCATAAAGAAGAATGGAAGAGAGAAATGAAATATACCATGGGATGATGAGTTGGGCTCTAACTCAAAAGCTAGAGAGGGAAGTGAAGTATGAAGAACGGTGCTTGCAATTGTCTCCATAAAATGTCTTCTTCCACATTTGCACAATCCTAATGACTGCAAAAATATGGGTTTTTGGGGATTTTGCCCTGTTCTTGTATGAATTAAATTGCAATCTTTATTAATTTTAGTACAATTACTGGATGATTTGAACTGTGACTTTGTATTTTTTGTGGAAAATTGAAAAGGGATGGGTAAATTTGAGGTGGGTACTAAAATGGAGTGGATCATTTCTTGAATTTTGTTGCTTGGTGTTGCTAAAGTGACGATCAACTATCCTGGTATTGATTTAAGCAGATATACAGGGGTAAACCAGTAATTTCTACTTTATTTTATAGCAAAAACTCTAGATTTTTTATTCCCCCAAAAAAATTAACACTCATTTAATTTTAACCATTGCTTTATTGGATATGATATTTACCCTTTTTCTTAGTATGATATTATTTTCTAATTTTTTTTTTTAAAAAAAAGAAATATGATGTTAACCATTATTTTGTCGGTTAAAAATACTTTCTTCGTTCGTTTTTAATTGATACATTTTGTTGAAATTATTAATTTATTAGCAAAGTCATGCGTAGTTGTGTAAAGGTGTCAAAATCTGACTTGATTCGATCCAACGAACGTGAATAAAAAACTAATTTATATTTCGACTCGTATGGACACAATAATTTAACATTACTCAACTTTGAAATAAACCTGACACGACCCGATCTTACCGAACCCGACTTAGGTACTCGAATTGGCACCTCTAGTCATGTGGGCTCTTCAATATTTGTTCATAATTTTATTTATTAATAATCAGATACTTAATATATTAATTAGGAAGTTGTGCGTTAGCAAACATAAAAAAATACGTGCAAACTACGGAGTACAAAATATTATACAGATATAACAGAGAAAGTAAAAAGATAAGAGTTTTTTTTACATCAATTCCCACTTGAAGATTATTTAAATGAAATATCAAAGACATTAGTTTGCCTTTGATCCAATAGGTCGATCCATATCTAACCCATTTTGACATACTTTAATTTTTTTAATGATCTTTTGTAGAAACATGTATGTTTAAAGTCCCAAAACATTGTCACAAAAAAAAAGGGGGGTCCCATAAGATTGAGTTTACTCATTTTTTGATAGGGTTCATGGGAATATACATGCTAACTTACCCTTATATATATTGTAGTGGCGGATTCAGAAAAAATATTAGTAGGGTTAAAATACAGTTGATAAATGGGGTTGTGAAATATAGAGGGGCCCTGATATTTTGGTGAATGTGCACACACAGGATTATAGCTTCCTCAACCAACTATGCCACGTCAGCTGTTGGTAGTTAGAGTAATAAGTCATGCTTTTATTACTAGTTTTAATTATGTTATAGCTACAGTAGCTTAGTATATAAGGTTTCTTCCTTTACTTTTCTTATTCATTCAATAATTGTAATAAACACTCTGTAATTCTCTCATTCATTCAGTGAAGTATTAGTTTTAGTCCTTGAGCTCAGAGACTCTGCGGATAGAGCTATGATAGCAAGAAAATCTCTGTGTTCTTTTGCTTGTTTTCGTTTTTTATTAGCTTCCATTTAATATGATAACATGGTATCAGAGCGGGTGTGTTCAATCGAAGATTCTCGAGCAACTTTAATGGTGTTCTTGAGCATTTGATGTTTCGCCTTTGGTTCAGTGAGTTCTTCCAATTTTTGTTTCAATTCCCTGTTTTGTATGATTTGTTTATTGATTTTTTAGGCTAAATTTCTACTTGAAGATTGATTGGTTGGTTCGTAGTTGTTATTGATTGATTCTTTGAAATTTTCAGGGTATTTTGTGTTGATTGAACGAAATTCCTTGAGAATTATTTGAATTTCCTTGGTGAAGAATTGTAAGTAGTGATTCTTGATTTTTGGGTATTTGTTGAATTCTGGGTATTTTTTGATTTGTTGATATGGCTAATAACAAAACTGTGAGAGATATTAGTCAAGATCCATCTAGTCCTTATGTTCTGCATCCATTAGATTTTACTAGGTTAAAGCTTGTTTCGAATGTCTTTGATGGTACAAATTATGGTAATTGGAAGAGGTCAATGGTAATTGGATTAACTGCAAAAAATAAGATGGGTTTTGTTGATGGCTCTTTGCCTAAACCAGATGTGAATGCAATAACGTTTAAGGCATGGAATAGATGCAATAGTATAGTCATTGGATGGTGTTTCGGGGTTTTTGGAGTCCCTCAGGAGAGTTACAAATCCAAGAATGCGCGTCGACTGTCTGTACCTGCAAAACCACAAAAACTCTGGTTGGGTGGAGTTCTGCCTCCGAAGATCAAGTTAGAACGTTTCCGGATGTATAAAAGTGCGGAATGTAAAGGTTTTTCTCTCGGATTCCGAGAGAATTCTGTAATTAATATTGCTCGTGTTTGGTGTGTATATTTATGAATATGTAATAAATGAGGATTTTCCTCTATTTATAGTGGAAAGGGATCAGTTCCCCTTTTAGGGTTAAAGTGCCACGTGTCAGTAGAGGATTGGATCCCCTAGGACCTCTCTGAGGCTGACACGTGTCGGCATGCTATAGGGCCACGTGGACAGGGTATTTTTACCCTAAACATTTGCCCCTCACAGGTGTGACGTGGCTTGCCACGTGGCACCTGTGACAGGTGTCACGCTCTGAGAAGGTGATGTTTCGTCTCCTTCTCTCTCTCTCTTTGTTTTTTTTTTGAATTCAAATTTTGAATTCTAATTGGGGAGGTGACGGTTCGCCTTCTGAGGTTCTCTATAAGTAGAGACCCCCTTCCTCTCATTTGCCCACTTCGCAAACTTTTGTTGAGAATTTTCTGAGAGCGTTCTGATACCGGCTGCTTTTTTATTCAAAACCATCTTCCTTTCCCTCACTCATCCGGTCACCGTCTGAGTGCTCTTTGCTCAAAACTCATAGGTACCGCCTGACCATACTCAAATTCCTTCCCTTTGCTCTCAATATACCCACATCCGGTCTACCGTATGGGGTATCATCACGCAAGGTTTCAGAGAAACGGTTGGGTTGCTTCAACAATTCAGTTGCTCTTTGAAGAGGGTACATCCGGGCAACCGTCTGGGTATATAGCAAGCAACAAAAAGATTTCCGGCTGCTGATCCGGATAGCCTATTTTCCCTTCACTCAAAGCATCTTCAAGGTACCGTCTCTACCCCTTGCAACTTTTTTGAGTTTTTCGATTGTATAGCTTGTAGAGAATAATGGATTCACCCAACACACACACGGCACGGCCTAGGACAGTTGTCAACCAATCACCGGATATGGCTGAGTCTAAGATTGGGGATGCCGCCTGGGGGTGTTTGGACTACCCTTACTCTTCTGCGAATCCGACCGTCTCTGTTCATGTGCAGGATAGAATGGCTCGAACGAGATGGATGGCTGTAGACCCTGAATATCAGTCAGACGGCTCAGCTGAAGCTCCGGCTGACTTTGTACCTTATGACCAGCTGGGCGTACCTAGCACGCCCGGAGATGATATCTTGGACGAATCTGAGGATACAGGTGGCGAAGAGACCGTCCAGCAATCAGACTCTACAGAGTCGACTATGGAACTGGATGCCCCCCAAGAGGATGAGGAGGCATATAAATGGCCCTCCATCAACAATCCAACAGAGGCGCACATGACCGCTCGGGATGTGGTCACTCTAAATGCCACCTTACCTGTATTTTTGAAGCGCCCGGTTGGGGTAGGATGGGAGATTGTGGTGCCGCCTGTGGAGGCAACCGTCGTCTGGGATGACGACCTTGATCATGTCGATGATTATTTCGGCTGTTATGAGGCGGTGTTCAAAGCCGGCCTCCGGTTCCCCCTCCACAATACAATAAAAGTCATTCTAAAGGGTTACGACCTTGGCGTTTGCCAGCTAACTCCCAACTCTTGGGTGAATATACTAGGATATATAGCCGCCTGGGAGATGCAGGACATAACGCCTAGTTGGGAGGCGTTTGCACATATGCACTACCTCAGCCCTGCCCCAGGCGGTTGGAATGCGTGGTATACATTGACCACGCATCCGGAATATATGATGACGCTCGACAAGCCGTCAAAGTGGAGCAGCTGGAAGAGAAAGTTTTACATGGTTTCTTCCCCATCGCTGCAACAAAACCACCGGCTGCGTCGCTACAATACACACCCGGCTCTCCTTGGAAAGAAGTGCGCCCTTCCTAGAGTGCTGGAAGAGGCTTGGACACAAATAATGGAGATGGGTCTCTTTAAAAAGACCTCATTGCCTTTGGATGATGGGACATAAGTCATTGTCCCCAAGAACTGGGTCCCTCATCCGGATTGGCTAAAGGACGAGGCGTTCCTTTCCACCTGTGGCCTTAGCACAATGTGGTGCAGATGTATGTTGATTGTTTACCGGCACTTTATGCCGTCTGTATCATACTTGAATGGGTTTTGATTTTTTGATTTTTCTTCCTTGCAGAGAAAGGATTAGAGATGGTGCCTCCTGAAAAGACACCGGCTAAATCTGCTGCAGAGATCCGGAAGGATCAGTTGGAGAGAAAGAGGGCCCAACTGGCGGCCAAAGATGATGGGGTAAGCGCCGACTGAGCTCTTTTACCGTTTGTATGGTTTGAAGTTAAGTTTGATATTAACCGGCTGTTTGGTTTTCTTTTTCAGACGGGGAGCAAGAATGTTCCTCGTTCTTTAAGACAGATGCTGAAGAGATCGGGACAGGAGCCCTCCCAGCCTACTTCTAAAAGTCGAAGGGTTCTGGCTGCCCCTGCCTCTACTGGAAGGCCGCCTGTGCCTGAGAGGCCCACCTCAGCAGGCAAAAGCCTGAAAGACCTTGGCCTTAGCACAGGGCCGACTGAGGTTGAAGCGAGGGAGCCCGAAATTCCCTCATGCCGGGTGCTTGCTGTAGTATCTGGCTCCAATGCGGCTAGGGGTGGGATGACCCCTCAGCCTGAAAATCAAGGTAAGACTCTCACCTTTGATCCCCCTTGGCCGCTTGGGCCTATGCGAGTCAAGTCCCAAGCTACCCAATTAGGGGATTCTTCAAGCAGCCGACAGAATGTAGGTGTCACCTATGCTCAGTACTTAACCAATAAATCTATTGATGCAGATGCCTCTTCTCGTTGGCCGGACCTCAAAGATTATGCCAAGAGAATGCTGAGGACCCTCACCCGGTCCAAGAAAGAGGCGGTGTCGGGCGTGCACCAGGTCAACATAAACCGCATCAACTCACTGCTCGCTGAGGTAATTGACCGGTTGGGGTGCTTTTGTGCCACTTTATTCTTTTTCCGGTTGTAGCGTAATTGAATGACTAACCCCTTTTCCGGCTGATTTTGCAGGTGATGCCAAGGGTGAACGGCATGAAGGTCCCCTTGCGGAAGAAGCAAGAGGAGGTAAGGGATGTCAATAGAAGCGCAGCTGAC